CTCTCACCCTCCTCCCCTCCCTCCGGCGATCGTACGATAGCAAATCTGTTGAGGGGATACACCCCATGAGCAGGTCTGAGCGCCCGCTGGAGCGAGGGTAGGCCAGCCCGCCAGACACGCGGGCCCGGCGGCCGGCCCACCGCCTGGGCGCTCTCCGCGCGAGTCGCGCCGCCGGCCCACCACTGCCACTTGTGGCTTGGAAGCTCGCGGCGGGGCGAGGCGGGGCGAGGCGTGGCGCGCCGCCGTGGCGCGGCGTAGCTCACGCAGTGCCCGGGCCCACTGCGGCGCTGGAATGCCGAACATGTCGGCAACTTCGCGAGAGGGGAGCAGCGGATTCCTTTCTCGCAACTTTTTCTGCACGTCTGGCCTTTTTCACTTCGCTCTTCTTTACTCGAGGGGTTCCTATCTTGCACCGCTCTCCTTTTCCGCGCCCACCCGATCCTCTTCCCCCTCCTCTCAATCTCGCCTTATTCGTTTTTTCCCCCCAAATCTCTGGCGCTGTCCCCACCACCCCCTCGCACAGTACTACTTTAAAACCAAACACTGTAAGTTTCGATTAAAGCGCCGCCGCCGTGCCGAACGCAACCTTCAATTCCCATCGGGATAACTTGAAGGAGGCGAGGGCTTTGGGGGCTTAACGCACAGAAGGAGCCTCGGTTTGCTGGTCCGATTGGGCACCGAGTGATAAGAGAGAGACACAGAGTTAGTTGTTCTAAGTCGCATTAGACCGTCTCTCTGCCCGGCGGGCGGCGGTGCGCCGCGCACCCACAGGGGGCGGGGCGGGCGCAGAGGAGCGGAGTGGAGCGGGGCGAGGCAGGGCGGCCTCGTACCTGGCTCCAGCCCCCCAGGGGCACCGCCCGCCCGTGTTATGGTCTGCCGTACCACCGCGCCCCGCCCCACCCTAACACGCTCTCCGCTCTCAGAAGCACAAGGGCTCCCCCTCCACAAGAGCTGCCTCGAGGGGCGACACTCTGAAGGTGCTTGATTACATGCGAGATGACGGCAGAGGCGAAACGTATACAAAGATGACGACGCTGTCAGTCTTAATGTCGCGGTTGGGACGCTGCACGCGTCACATGCTTCTCTGGCGCTGCTGCCTCTGTTGTTGCCCCCCCCCCCTCTCTTTTTCTTTCTTTCTTTCACTTTCTTTCTCTCTCTCTTCCTCTCTCTGTCTCTCTCTGCACCCTGTTCACAAAGCAAGTCGCTACTCGGGGAAGGTGGGTGGACTCTGCCTCCGATC